TATGCTATAATATTATGTGATAGTGGTAGGATGGGTAGGATAGGACCCAATACTGGTCGAAAGTGTTGGGTTATGAGCATTCTAACACTCCTATGGTGTACATGTAACCTTAGAAACCTTGGATCTATGTTTGACTAAGATACATGGAAAATGATTTTCCAAGGTTCATAATCCTATCTAGCATACATGGGGATCTTTTATTCTAAAAGTTAGTAAGAATTACATACCTCTTTGTAGCTTGGATTCCTTTGAAACCTTGTGAGCTTAGCACCTCAATTTTAATGCCTCAAATGTCTCACACAACACCAAGTACACTTGGAATAAACTCTAAGAGAATAAGAACACTTGCAAAATCGGTTTTCCCTCTTTGATTCTTGCTAGTGGCCGATTTTGGTGAATAGAATAACCTTTATATAGTGTGTCACAATTAGGATTACACCATTTAAACCCTAATTGTCATGGTCTTTCATTTCCGTGACCCATAGGTTATGTAACTCTTATGGAGCATCCATGGAGCATCTTATGGGTTTAACCCAACTTGATAATCCATGGAGCCTTGGCCTACTATATAATTTATGGATGATTGACACACTCAACCCATATATTTAATTAGTCTTCTTTTGATCACATAATTAATTCTAAATTAGTTATTGATCAATACTAACTAAATATTATTCTTCTTATTATTAATATATTAGAACTTATAATATATTAATAAACCATAAGTGACTTATTTCTCTCATTTAGTCTATCCAAGTGCATGATGCCATGCAACCCAAACGGACCATACCGGGTCGGGTCAAGTACATACTAAATATAGTTATGGACTTAGACATTATATCCAACAGTCTCCCACTTGGATAAGTCTAATAACTATAGTTGCAAGTATGACTTCAGGAACCGACCAACAATCGTAGCTCTTTCAAGGTCTCTCGGAACTGAGAAGATAATGGTGTGCCATTTTAGATAAGTGATCACATAATCCTCTATTCTAGATATCAGCTGGACAAACACATGGAACAATGTCTTTCTATTGTCTAGCAGTTGTTTTTCGATTTTCGATTTGTTTGACATAGAACTTAATTGAACACATCAATTTAGTTCTGATCCGGCCTAATAAATGGGTCAAAACAAAAGCATTGAGGGGCCTAGATATCGCTTCTAATCCAAGAAGGAACAGAAAAACTTCGACTCATATGTTTGCTCTACTACTTGTTGAATTACACACAAAGGTACGTTTTATAACATCGAGTTACCAATGCGTTTTCGTACAATCAATGCATAACCAAATCATAGGTAACAAATCATATGTCTAGATTTGAAGAATTATATGATATTACCATCTCACGATCACTCAAGATAAATTCCATGAAGTGATACCAATGAGCGTGGGTTGAATCCAATACTCAGAACTTATGAGCACTCATGAGTGTTGTAGCCCTCTTTGTCCAACATCTTGGACCTCTACAAACCAACTCATGACAGTCTTGATTCATATGTACTTCCAACATATGATTGACTGTGTAGAATTTGAATAATATGATATATACCATAACATAATTATTCTGGAAGTCAAAACATGCAAAAGAAATACTAGTAAATGATTAGCAAGAGATAGCAACACTTTACTCATAAATAACAACTTTTATTTATCATAAAATTTCAATTACATTTACATATTTTAAAGTTATATAACTTCTAAAAACTAATATCATCTCTTAGCCCTATGCTCCTAGCATGCTGAAGATGCTTAACCGTACTGTAACGCCCGCAGATCCTGGCTAGTCAATTTAGAGACAATAAGTGTCGAAAATGACTTTTTGACAGAATATTATTTAGAATAAATAATCTTAACCAAGTTGTAAAATACGTCACAAGGTTTCCGTACATATAAAGAACACCGAAATCCGAGTTATAACGAAGAAGTTATGACCCGTCGAAGTTTCGCGATGGAACCGGCACGGCACCAGGAAGCATAAATAGTGAATTTATGATAGAGCGAGTTTTAGCCTTAGCAATCTAAAAAATGTTGTACAATACGTTAAAACAAGAACATACAAAAAAAGAACGCCCAAATTTGACTTCGTATGAGGACGTTATGAATTTTCTAAGATTTGGTTTAACAGTGCACGTCCCGAAACTCGAATTTTAGTTCGAGCGGTTTTTGGCTTACGCAACCTTAATGAGAGTTGAAGATCTCATTAATAGGAACTCAACAGTAAAAATACAAACGAAAACGGAGTTCGTATGAAGGAGTTACGAATTCTTTGCGGTCATTTAACAGTCTAAACTCCTCCTACTGTTAAATTTAAGATCGATCGAGAATTAGCCGACAGAGTCTAAATGAAAGTTGTAGATCTTGATTTTACCTACGCGTGGATATAAAGAATGTAGAAAACGGAGTTCGTATGCAAAAGTTATGAATTTTTGAAAATCGGCTGATTTCCACCCTATGTGCGATGCCAAGTGTCAGCACAGGCTGCGCCTAGCTGTAGCCAGCCTGGATCACGACGTGAATATTAAAAATTCACGATGTGAACCTTCCTTCAGCCCCTATAAATAAGTGGTGAGGCCTCCATTCATTCCTCACACCTCCCCTCACTTCCCTCTCTCTCTAGAACTTCTCTCTAGCCCCGAAACCCCTCGAAAAGCTTAGGGAACCTCCCTAGCACGAGGCGGAAGCCCCGGAGTGCCTGAAGGCTCCGAGAAGAAGAGCCTTTCGGCTCAGGAACGCTAATATAGCGGCGCCCGGTTTTGAGAAAAACCCGTTGTAAGTAAGCTACGCCTACGCTATTTTTAATATAGCTTTTATTTAATTATAGTAACATTATTAGGAACTTATAGTAATTATTTGGGTTATTATTATGAGTTATATTGAGTGTTATTTAATGCCCATATAATAAATAATAATAGCTAGACTATTAATTAGTCGTGGTTGACGTTAGACTAAACCCTAGTGATATTGATACTAGGTTTTGTCGAGGAAAATTGTTTTAAGAGTTACGAAGTATTGTCCAAGGACCGAGTCACCACCGTATCAAGTGAGTGCATAGTTACTTTCAACTTACACATAGATATGAAGTATTTTAATATAAATTACATGCTATGTGTGCATATTATCTGAATATTTGCTGTCTATGATGGTGAAAGATTTTTATACATGTTTTAAATTATGTAAATTGTATAAAGTATTTTATATCTACAAAATATGTTGGGTAAACATGGGTAGATGAATAATGAGGGATAAAAGCTGAAATAGAGGAACATTAGTAGCATGGACCTAGTGCCCTATAGATGAGCACTGGCAGCTGCGCCACAACCCGTAGATGTTTTAAATCTATAGTAAACGTCCTAGCAGCTACGCTCTAAGGACAGTATCGGCAACTGCGCCTAATAAGAAGCCTTATGACCATGACAGTAGCGTTTAAAGGTCAATACCGGCAGAAGCGCCTCATAGAAAATGTCCCGATTCTGGCAGCTGCACCTAAGTGATAATATTAGTAGCTGCGCTTGACCACTGTGTCATTGGCAACAATGGACTTCATGTTGATTCCTTAGGAAAATCCTTAGTAATGAATGAACGAGAAATAACTGATTCTTAGGGTAGATCCTTAAGATTAAAGAAGATAATGGGGATGGGTAATTGGGTTAACTGTTAGATGATTAAACATAATAATTATATTATTGTGGGTTGAAAATCTTATGTACTCACCAGGTTTCCCAACCTGACCCACTCAGTTTATTTATATCACATGTGTCGATATGAAGTCACATTACACTGAGAGATTAAGGAGATATAGATCACTAGTGTAAATGAATGTAAGTTTTGTTTATGCTTATGTTTCTCTATTGACGATGACATCCCAAATGTTTTAAAATGAAGAAAAATACTTTTCTTCGGAAATTCTGATCTGGTACCCTAAGACTGAGATACCACATAAAGTTGCTAACTTTACGTGTATGCATGATGTCAAATGGCTAAAACACTAAAACTAAGCTTCATAAGAGATCTCGGGCATGGAGGGGGCCACAACTTGATAAAGTTGGCAACTTTAAGTCTCACAAGGCCATGGAATGTCTAGATCTAAGATCATAACTTCAAAACATGATCATATCCAAGAAGGACTCCAAAATAATCTACTTAAGGCCATAAACCCCTCAATGAAGAGATCTACCAAATACATAGTCAAGGTATCGACTTTATATCTTAAGATGGTTGCCACAACAAAGGAATTCTCGGATCCAAAGCTTCTCCTTTCACTAAGCAACACAAATCTTCAAGCTCCTTCAAGAAAGCACCAAAGAAAATACTCTTTACACTCCCACTTACTCAAGATGATAGAAAGCACGAATTAGGATTTTACTGGACTGATGGAGCAATAAGGGAGGCCACAATGAACCATTGAGGCCTTTAAATAGGGTACAAAACCCTGAAAATTAGGGTTTCATTTCTACCAGCCTATTCGTCGAGTTAAGGCCTCTCAACTCGTTGAGTAGGTTCCTTAACCCACATCCCAAATTATTCTTACTCCACGAGTCTGGGGCTCCTAACTCATCGAGTTCTTCAATGAAAGTGAATAAATTAAAATTTAAAATACATACCAGAAACTAGGCGTTACAAATCAAGTGCAGAAGGAGGGAGACTCGAAAGAGGGGTGCCGATTTACGCTACCAAATAATCTTTACGGAGCATAAGACGTTGTATTCACTGAGTCAACGTCGACATGGTGAGCTATTTTCCAAGTCCACTCCATATAACCTAATACAATACAATTATAAATGAGACACACATAAAAAAAAGATAGAATAATAAATTTAAAGCAAATAATATAATATAAAATGAACCATTTCGCAAGGATACCATAAGCAGTCTGTTAGCAAAATAAAATTTAGCCTAAAATTATGATTTTTCGTAAGCAAAGGACCATTTATGGAATTTTGTTTAAAATAAATTATATGAAAGCCAGGTTGGAAGGAAAAAGCAGAATTTGACTACACGCATGTCAAATATTGTTTACAAAAACCTTTTTACTCAAATTGCAAGTATACACATAAACATACTCAAATCTGAAATCCCCAATATTCATCCATTAGATTCTGTTTCTTGTAACTCGAACGTGCCTATAGATCACAAATTTCCCCTATTTTATCACAAATTCGATTCAATTTCGCCGATTCACGTCATCTAAATCAAAACCCTAGAAGAAACGGTTTGTCCTCTTTCTCTCTGTTGGATAATTTCAATGTATGTTCCGTATTGTTATATCTCTGGATTATTATCGATATTTTATCTGCTTATGGAGCTGGTTCGGTTACGAATACACTCGATAGAGAAGGAGACAGCAATGTCCGAATGATTACGGCTTGAATGAATATTTCAGCATTTGTTATCACTTTCTATTTTGTTTTCGTGGCTTGATAAACAGTTCTTTGTTTTCGTTTGTGGGTAGATGAGATTTATGATAAAGAACCAATCTTTTGCTCACATGTGTTTTAATGTCTCTGTGTTGTAGATGTCCAGTTGTTCTAGTAGTGGCAGTAGTTGCTTTGTGGACGATGAGGAGTTATTACAGTTTGAAGCGAGATGTAAAGAGGTACGTTTGCTGTTTTTTGGTTGTGTTGTAAGCACCTTATTTATATTCAAGATAAAAAAAAAAAGGCACCCAATAAAGATAATCAAATCATTGATGAAATGAAACCTTTTCTAAGCCTCATTAAACAATGAATAAGAAATAAGACATCAATAAAACAGATATGGCAATGTTTACTACTTTACTTCTTTTAAACTAGAGATATAAAAAAGATTCCAACATTGCTAAGTAAGCTTCATATTGTGTATTACCTAAATTCTTTTAATCAAATATCACTCATTAAGTAGCTTTTTCATGTTTGTGTATATATAGAATTTACATCCAATTATAGTGGCACTTCTAAGTTTTTTCTCATTGTTCTTGGATGTAGTTGAGGATAGAAAAGGACATGCTGAAAGAATCAAGCTATGAACTCATTCGGGTAACGTTTTTTTATTGTTTTATAAACCTAATTAATGTCATTATTTGGTCTAATGCTTTAAATCAAGACAATGAACCTATAGCTTAAATGATACAGAGCCTTGAATCACATGCAAAAACATTATCCCAAAATCGTTCCAATGACAAGAAACGTATACAAGATTTAGAAAGAGAGCTAAGAAACTGCACACAAGAAATAGGTAAATGGCTCTTATGTAAATATTGAGATTTTATTCGATATAATTCCATGTAGGCTTCACTCATTGCAATACACCTCATAGATTACTTGCAGGATCAAGTAAACACAAGGGACACTGAAATAAACCACATGACTGATTACATCCAAATTCTAGAGTCAAAACTCAAAGCAAAAGATAATTTAGATGGAATCGTGAGATGTTTAGAGCAAGATTTGAAGGCATGCAATTTGGAAAAGTTGGTTTTGTTGGAAAAATTAGAAAACAAAGAACAAGAATTGCATGATGTTGCTTTAGAGTATGAATGTGACATAGAAAGCATGAATCTTGATTTAATGGCTATGGAGAATAGTTTTCTTGAAGCTAAAGAGCTCCAAGAAGAAGTTATTCAAGAACATTGTAAGATGCAGGAAATGACTAAAAACTACAAGCTTCAAATGCATGAATATGAACTTCTTGTGAGCCAATTGAAGGTATGTAGGGTTAAATGATGTGAAATACAAAATGGGTATCACAAAAATTTGAACTTTATGTTATAAAATTGTTTATAGGAACAATTAAGAGATGAAAAATTTAAGGCAAAAGAAGAAGCTGAAGATTTAGCTCAAGAAATGGCTGAGTTAAGATATGAGTTAACCGGATTGCTTGAAGAAGAATATAAAAGACGTGCGTGTATAGAACAAAGAGCTTTACAAAGAATAACCGAGTTGGAGTCTCAGGTATTAATATTAATATATATAACATATTTTATATTTTTGGAAATAGTAAATATAGTTTCTAATATATTTTGTTTTATCTTTTTGTTGCAATCAAGATTGAAAAAGAACGAAGGAAAACTTTTGCTAATGTTCGTGGTCTTCCGAATGCTTAAAAGTGTTATTGTATTGGTTTGTGTTATTGAGATTGTTTTTATGGGTAGGAATTAGAATTTGATTTAATTATATCTTCTTTGTATTGTAAATTTGTCAAATTCAAAGGAATGTATAGCTTTTATTGTATTTAATATAAGTTATTGTAAGCGTTGTTGTTTTGGATTTGGCAATTTATGATTGGAGTGTTGGAAGGTTTGGTGATGGAATTTATGTGGGTTTGTGTTTTATTAGCATTTTTCTACAAGTAGACTTCTCTTGTTGTTAACGTATTGATTCTTTCTAAAATTAGGGTATGTTTGGTTTGTGGATTCCATCTTAACCAATGGAATTGGAATTCAACGTGTCATTCCTTTCTATCTATTCCATATTTTAGGGATTTCATTATTTCTGAGGTGAAAAGATATCAATTCATTCTGCATTCTAATAAGAAACCAAATAAGCATTATATATTTATATATTGAAGTAAATAAATACAAAATTTGGTTATATATATATATATATATATATATATATATATATATATATATATATATGAAAAAGTGAATATACATTACAGTCCCACCTAAGCTTAGATACTAAATCTTATGAAAATACATTGTTTTACTATATAAAGATTGTGGTTAAAGGATTAAGAATTAACACTTGATGATGTAGATTCAAGATAGACGAAATAGTTTTGATAAGGAAGCAAGAATATTGATTATCTTTGACCTTAGTAATAGTGAAAAAAAGTAATGTTTATTGCAGTGAAGTAATTAACAGTAATTAAGGAAAGAAAACAAGCATGGTAAAATGATAATGGAGGAAGAAAATGTTATCGAGGAGATATATTTACCAAGTGAAAACCAAATCGGGTGTATTTGCTAAGTTAAAACGATATATTTTAGTGGTTTTATACCTAAGTTTAGGTGGGGCTGTAATGTATATTCCCTATCCCGTATATATATATATATATATATATATATATATATATATATATATATATATATATATATTAATTTTGTGAGATCGTGAGACCAAATGTAAAAATAATTTTAAAATGCAAAATAAATGAAAAAATCAAAAAAAAAAAAATTTAAATATTATTTTCGAAACTTGAATTAACTAAAAAAAAAAAACAAATCCTGTTTTCTTTTTTTCTTTTTTTTTTTTTTTTTTTTTTTTTAAATACGTGAAATATTCTAATAGAATATTACACTAATATATTCTAAAAAATAATTTTAAAATGCAAAATAAATGGAAAAATCTAAAAATTATTTTTCGAACTTGAATTAACTAAAAATAAATAAAAAAAATTAAAAAAATTCAATTTTTTTGAAAAATACGTGAAATATTCTAATAGAGTATTACACTGTATATATTCTAAAAAATAATTTTAAAATGCAAAATAAATGGAAAAATCCAAAAGTTCTTTTTTTTTTTTAAATATTATTTTCGGAACTTGACTTAACTAAAAAAAAAAAAATACGTCTCACGATCTCACAAAATTAGGCCGTCTCACATGAACCTAACCCTATATATATATATATATATATATATATATATATATATATATATATATATATATATATATATATATATATATATATATATATATAAACAAGAAATATTAGAATATAAATCAAAAACTAAAATCTTAATTTGGTTCGACTTATCATGGCTAACATTTGATTCTTTATTCCCCATTTATGTCTACTTCGAATATGAAAACAAACAATGGTGCGATTATATATTTATATATGGTATGCTTTTCGTTTGTTTTTATTATGATTTGCATCGAAATATTATTGTCTATAAAGTTTTTATAAGATGTATAATTATTTTATAGGAACTGTAATTATCATCAATTTATTTAAATTTTTAAGTACATATATCCGACCATTTAGAATTACATAAAATTAACATTAGCTCACTTATAGGCAAACGAGCAAAGGTTACAATCTTCATCACATTGATAAAGTAAAGGGAAAATGACTTAAAAAGGTAATGAAGTTTTAAAAATGTACAAAAAATACCATTGTTTTATCTTTAGTACTAAAATACCATTAAAGTGTATTTTTTATACATAAAATACCAATGAAGTACATATGTGCTCAAATAAAACCTTGTGGGTAACATGTTACCGCAGGTAACGAAAAAATGTCATAAAAAGGTAATAAAGTTTCAAAAATATTCAAAAAATATCATTATTTTTTTAGTATAAAAAATACTATTGAAATTTCCAAAATGTTAAAAAAAAAACATTGTTATTTTTTCATAGCACATTTTGTTAACTTCGTTGTTTCCGGATTATAAAGAACACAGTCATCGGAGATTAGTCACCGTCGTACCAGTTCACACCAGTTGTTTATTATCTTTCATTCCATCACTCGATCGGTTAAATCCATATTTAGAAATTCTCATGACATAACATCACACTCATTTCTCCTTTGTGTCTTTCTTGTGTTGCAACACTAATGAATGACTAACATTGATGTATAACATGTGCATCTATATAACGTATATATGTTTTAGGTTTAGGCATATAATGTGATCGGGAAGAAAGAATGGTTAACTAATGTTATTACTCACTTACTTCTCTTGTTACCATAAGAAAAATCGAGTAAAAGAATGAAAAAGATTTGCACAATTGTTGTGAATTGGTATAACAGTTTATGATCTCTGGTGATTGTGTTCTACATAATCCAACAACAACACAATTAACAAATAGTGTGATATTTTTTAAACATTTTGGAAACTTCATTACACTTTAAATTATTTTCCCATTAGCTGAAGTACCTGGTTACCATAATGTTTTAGTTGAATACATGTGTATTTCATTGGTATTCTATGTACAAATAGTAACATTAATGATATTTTTTATACTAAAAAAACAACAATGATATTTTTTGAATATTTAGAAACCAGGTAACTTACAATGCTTGTAAAATGGTATTTTGTGTAAAAAAAAATAATAGTCTTTTTTGTACATTTTTTAAACTTCGTTACCTTTTAAAGTCGTTTTCCGTAAAGTAAATTATTGTTATACAAGTAAAAAGCTGTTAACAAATATTATTTATTTATTTATTTACTTATTTTTCCAAATGCAAAGTGACAAACTGTTATAAGATACAAAAAGTATTTTACAAAAATATCAATATAAGAAGAATTAAATGTTTATTTAATAAACATGGTTCAATAAATAAAGCCTTATTATTGTACAAATCAATAAAAAGGTACAAAATAATATACAAAAGTATTTGAATTTTGATGGGTATTATTTTATGAGAAAACCTATTCTTTCTTATAAAATTCTACTTTTAGCATTTAACCTGTTAAAAGATAAAACAACAAATAACCCCCAAAGAGGTTTACTCGTCATCAAAGACTTTTTCTTCCAATATTCAATTCCCCCGCTTTCATCTTCCTCTATATTCTTCGTCCCTTTACACTTGGATATTCTCTCCGGCAACCACCCCTTTCTCTCGTATCTCCCAATTTCATAGGTACTTAATTTCATCTTTTCCTTGAGCTTTTAGGTTTAGAGATTCAACTTTATCTTATAACGATCTGTACCCAAATCATAATACATGTTCAGTTATATATGATACAATCATCGTTTTATCCATTCCGACTCTGTTACGCTTCTTGATTTTCGGTTTGTAATTCTGAGTTTTGTTACTTCGCTTCGTTTTTCTCTTTGCTTTTGCTTCAATTTACTTATTGGGTATCTGGTTGCTGAGAGTGAATAAGTAAACTAGAAAGTTTTTTCGTATATTATTATAATTTTGAAAATAATTCATCTGTTCTTGATGTTTTCTTCGTTTGGTTAACTAATCCTTGATTTGGTGGAGTTGTTGTGGAATAAATTTCCTAATTTAGTTCATAAATCATCATCTCATTTTCTTCATCTTAATTTCTGGTGTTCAATTCATTTCGGTTTTGTTACTTTTCTAATTATTTACGATTTACCCTGATCTTCATGTTTTCTTGCATAATCGAACTCTGCAGAGTCTAACATGTCTGGGCTCAACAAGAAACCTCATCAGCACAAACCTCGATTCCCAAGTCAACCCACCTCCAATCCATTCGATTCTGATGACGAAATCGACAAAAAATCAACCCTAAAACCATCAAAAAAACCCTCTTCCGAACCTTCACTAACCCCAAATTCAAAAACCAGTCTTTTCGATAACAATGAAATTAAAGTTGCCTCGAATTCATCCGGGTATGCATCAAGAAACAAATACAAAAACGATTTCATTGATTCTGGTGGTGTAGATAACCAAAGTGTCCAAGAATTGGAACATTACGCTGCGTATAAAGCTGAAGAAACTACAAAGTCTGTGCATAGTGCATTAAAAATCGCAGAAGATATTAGAGAAAGTGCCACTAACACCATGCTCACCTTACATCAACAAGGTGAACAGATTAACAGAACCCACAATGCTGCAGCAAATATCGAGCAAGATCTCAGTAGGGTATGTTGTTTTTATGATCCAAAAATGGTCAAATGTTATTTCCACCAAATCTTTATTTATTTATTTTCGTTCATTTTTTTAGGGAGAGAAGCTATTGGGAAGTCTTGGAGGCATTTTTTCTAGGACTTGGAAGCCGAAAAAGGGTCAGACTATAAGAGGTCCTACAAGCATCAGAGGTAATTAATTATTATTTTTTAAAAATTGGTTATTGTTTTCATGAATAATTTGTAAAATTGGTTGCTTTATTGAGTTTTGATTATCTATTAACAGATGATCCTGATAGAAGAAAGGGTAACCATTTGGAGCAAAGAGAAAAATTGGGACTTACAACAACTCCAAATAAGGGAGCTTCTCGTTCAAGGGTCCCACTTCCTGAATCCGCTGATGCAATGCAGAAAGTTGAGGTATCGTTTAACACTAAATGACTAATATACCCCTCCTGTGAAATGACTAATTTACCCCTTCCTCTATCTTAGTATGAAAAGGAGAAGCAAGATGATGGGCTCTCTGAGTTGAGTAACATATTGGGGGAACTGAAGGAAATGGCTGTTGACATGGGTTCTGAAATTGAAAGGTTAGTGTTTATGTTATATAATATAATATGAGTTTTCTCATTTATGATTGTTAAAATACTTGATTTTTTTATATTTTGAATTTTGTAGGCAAGATAAAGCCCTTAATCCTCTTCAAGATGATGTTGATGAGATCAATTTCAGAGTAAGAGGTGCAAATCAACGAACTCGACGTCTTCTTGGAAAATAATTGAATTCGTTTGAATGAATTCGGTTATTTTTCTATATTTTTATGGAAAATAGAGAAAACAATATCTCCTTACTACTTCCCTTTATGTAGAGGATTGTTTACCTTACAGTTTTCCAATTAACTATTTATAGGGTTTATATATGTCTTTTCAATGTGATGATGATATATTAAATGATCATAATCACTTAAGATAGTGTCACAAAAAGTTAGCTTCCAAACTCTTTTTTTACACTTGCAACTAATAATGTACATATACATACAAATAAAAATTAACACACCACAAACATCACCAAATATATGTCAAAGGTACAAACAACAATGCATCATGAACAACCTGGTGCATCAAAGTTTGGAAACTTCAAAAACTTGATAGACAAAGGAGCAATAGAAATCTTAGAATCAACCTTCACGAAATTCGGTTTAAAACATGGTGTATCTCCATTTTCAGTTAACTTTAATGGAGCTCCATTTAAAAGCATTGTTTTACTTGTTATATCTCCATGTTGTGGGGTTAAATGGTACTCTTCTCTTGTCAAATTTTCATCCGTTGATTTCGATCCAATCCATGAAACCGTTTTCTTGAGATCATCAACAAATGATGCTTTCTTTCTTGAAGTCTTTATATGGAAATTCATGTTCATGATGTTGTGAACATCAAGTTTGAAGCTTGTTTGGTTGCTTAGGTTGATCAAAAGCAAAGTTATTCCTCTCTGATCAGATCACAAACAATTTATTATTAACATTCGGTTTATTAATACATAAACATGAACTTACTTTTCCTTTTGAACAATGTGCATAAGTGCGCAAATGTGGTGGAATATTCACTCTTTCAACATCAAGAACTCCTGAACCCATAAGTCGATCCCAAAGAAGAGCACTTCACATCAAGATTGTCACTTTAGACAAAATTCATATAATCTTTTTGAAAAAATTAAAGATTTTTACCTGTAGTAATCAGGGTTAGGTATGAATGTTGTTCTATTGAGGAGACCATAATTTCCACCAATTAATGTTTGTCTGCAATATACTTTTGTGTGATACTTAGCTGCCATTGCTAACTGATCCAAGTACCTATAAATATTACATTCTTTAAAAAGTTTAACTTTATAATTAAAAAACGTGAGAAAACGAATGAGAATTTGTTATAAGATTACCAAAAGCTATTAACAAAAGTGTCTGAAACATGAAGGCCACCACTGTTGTAGGCCCCACCGGATTCCCCGACCCAAGAAGAAGCCCACGGGCCATCCGTTTTGATAGTTTCATGAAGAGCATTAAATGTGACAGATGCTCGACTCAAAAAATGAGGGTCTAGAATCTTCTTTACCAAATTCGGATCAACACCTGTTGACTTTAGAAAGTCAAAGCTAATACTTTCTGGAGTCGAATTAAACTTATATTCTTTTGGTTTTTTTAATCGATGAAATGTCGAACTTGTACTATTTTTTGTGTAGTGAAATGGGTTGTTTGTCTTTTTGAATAAAGAAAGTGATTATTGTCAATCTTGAAGTTAAAAAGAATAAGAGAGTTGACATTAGAAAGTCAAACCTGGGCCTAGATTGTAGATATGGTGTGTCATGACATTGACAATTTCTGAACCTGAGACTTGAAGCAGCTTGGAAAACCATTGTTTATCAAAGAAGCCTCCTGGTGCTACGAGTAATGGTTTTGGTTGGAATTTGGTGTATGAATTGTCGATTATACCCCTGAGTTCAATTACATCACTTGCATACTGCTCAGCATCCACCATTGCACCAATACCCTTGCCACTTAACTCATTTCCTACATCAATCAACAAGAGAATTCATCATTATGATGCATATCACCTTTTTGTTTTCCTTTTTCTGATAGTTTAAAAAAAATCACTTTAGTTTATAAAATTATACCAAATTCCCATGAATCTATCTGATACCCCTTGGAAACAGTATACTTTATGAAATCACGGGCATTGTTGTAATTCCAATCTCCTCCCCATACTCCTTTTGTAACTTGGTGTCTTCCATGGAGTGCATTCAAGCCAAATGTCACAAGTGCTCTACATTGAACATGTTTGTTGATGAAGGGTATTTTAGATATTTAACTAATAGTCAAACATTGTATTTATTTTGATATATGAAACAAAAAGGTAAAAGGTAAAAACTTACCTTGTCTTGTTGAAGAATTGATTCAATTCATCCCATCTACTCATATTAAGACACCCTTTAGAGAACCCAAATAATCCCCCTTTCATTTTTTTAAAAGGGTGGCAAGAACCCGTGAAATTTCCTATGTTGTATAATACTTGATCTTGTAAGGAACCTCCAACTCGTATTCTCATGCACTTGAAAGCTGTTGATGCCATTAACAAGACATTATTTTTTTTGTAAAATTTGAAAGAATTAGGTGTTAAGTTGTGAGACTAAATGATACATTATCAGATAGTAAGTTGTGGGACTGAATGTGACATCATAAGTCGGTAAGTTGTCAGACTGAATGTTACATCATCCATTGTGAGATTTAATGCGACATCATCTCGCAGCAATCAGTAAGTTGGGGGATTGAATGTCATAAAAAGGAAAATTATTTCTAGTAAAACGTGAAGGAATCAATTCTTAAGGTGGGACTGAATGTTACATCATTAGTTTTGGGACCGATGTCACATCAATGTTACATCATTGGTTTGTTTTTTAAAATCTACATGCTGTTAAAATAAATTGAAACCTAAATAAATTGATCTTTTTTTTTTTTTTTTTAAAATTTAAAAGACTTTCTCAATAATTCTAATATAAAAACATTGTAACTTAATAATACAACCACCTTATTTTCAATATATATAACAAATTAATTGTCAGTTTTATGAAGAAAAAAAAATACATTAGTAAAATACTTTGATAAGTTTTGTAATATATTTAACCTTTTTAGTTATTGCTATAAAAAGTCATTGGTTAAATATGTGTAAAGTTTTTTAAAATATGAATACCAAAAAATTATGTGAACAAATAAAAAGTTTATTAAGCTAAAACCATTAAAATAATACAATTGCAAAGTGTTCACATGGCAAATGAATAAAAAAGTGTTGCACTCATGAAGCTTGATAGGTTTTTTTTTTTTTTTTTGTCTTTAGGATTAGTGGAAGAGTTTATATTACAAGACTCAATAAACAAAAGTTGGCACTCAAAAAACCCAATAAAAACAAACCTTGAACCGCTTTCGTTAGAAAAGGATGAGATAAATCCTGAGAATATAAAAATAAGAATAAATTAAGATAATGAAAAGTATTCGACATCATATAAAGCACTTTAACAACATGCTTACAAGATTTAAAGCAGATGAAGATCCCCATGGGCAATGGTGGTAGTCGCACTTAGTATTTGGCCACCAATCAATAGTAGCACAAATATAATTTGAATCCGTATGAGCAATTGGTAAACTCCCATTGATCACCAGATGCCCCTCTTCCACATTTTGTGCCAAAATCACAGAAATTGATGATAGATACAGAAAAAATGAAGTCCAAAACTCCATTGATGGATAATGGATTAACTAAAAAGCTTAGCTTAGCTTAGCCTGTTAGAGATTATGATTACAAGTGGGCGATAATTAAAAGCCCGTTCTTTTTTTCTTGTTTACGATGTCTTCTCCGCTACTGCATAAACCCTAAATGTAAAAGCAAAGTCATGACGCCATTAATTCTTAACTTAGACGAAAGAAACCACTTAATTCAAAAAATTCAGATTCCGGTGTATGAATTAGAAGTCTTCTAAACAACAATCATCAACGATGAAAACTCCATAACACCAAAATCAATGAAATTTATACTGAATAAATGCCTTTCAAGAAGAAAAAAAGTAAACCAGTAACTCGCAAAATGCAAATTACAGAATCTAATGTTTCGATAAAATTAAAAAAAGATGAAAAACCCAGATATATAAACAAACCTCGAAGTGATTTGAGGCAGCTGCTTGGTTTATGCGGGTTTGTTATTTAATTAGGAATTTTTCTCTGTTTCATAGCCGTTTCATATGAAGCCGATTCGATTAGTCTGTTTTAGGGGAAATGGGGTGATAAAGTTGAGGTTGATTTGTGTTTTGGGGTTAGTTGAGCTGTTTACCAACTCATTATCTGAGATGAATTCATGGTTGAACGGTGATAAACACATGAATTTGGTGAGATTTCAAGTTTCAAGGAGAAGGTGGCTGGATGAAGACAAAGTTGATGGCGCAGTTCTCTATTTATTTTTCCATATTCCCGCTATTTTACTAAAATTGGGTGCAAGGATGGAATAAGAGTATCTAAATACTTTTTTATTTTTTTAGTTTTTCAAAAAACTAATAATTTTAAAAAAGTTTAGGAATTTTTATAAGTTGTTTAACGTACTTTTTATATGAGTATAATAATGTGTATCGTAGAGTTTTTGAGGTGGTTGAAATATTTATCATTTGAGTAAATTCCGTGAATGGTTCCTATGGTTTGGGTAATTTTTGCGTTCGGTTTTTAACTTATTTTTTTAACTCGTAAGGTTTCTACAGTTTGTATTTGTTATCCGTTTGGTCCCTGTTTTACTTAAAAAAACTATTTTGCCATTGATTTTTTAATTTATTTAAATAAATAGACATCCAATCACACCCCCTCACCTTACCTTACATATCCACAATATTTTCCTATTTAAATAATAGTTTTTTTTAGGTAAGACAGAGATCAAACACATAACAAAAACAAATAGTAGAGACCAATCGTATAAGAAAAACAAATAGTAGGAACCTTTCGAATTAAAAAAATAAGTTAGAGACCAAGCACACAAATTACCCCAAATCATAGGGACCATTCGTGAAATTTACTCTTATCATTTTGGTGTTGTTTCAAAAGTATTTATCATTTTAGTGTTTTTCTTATTTTTCATTATTTTTTAGTTTATTTTTCAGTTTCTTTTTTTTTTAATTTAAATATCTTATTTTTTTTCACTTTATTCCACCTTTTTATTGTTATATATATATATATATATATATATATATATATATATATATATATATATATATATATATATATATATAAATGACAAATTTCATTTTAGTTTTTTTATCCTTTTTTTTACTGTTTTTTTAAATATCCATTTTTCTTATACAACATTTTTACCATCAACTTTTAACCTCAACATTAAAAATTCATCAAAAACCACCACTATAATCAAATTTTAAGATGCAAAAATTCCAACATTCATATAAAATGTTTTTAAAATG